GGGAGGAGGGGGAGGAGGGGAGACGGAAGGAGGGAGGCGGGGAGGGGAGGGAGGAGAGGGGAGAAGGGGGAAGGCGAGGAGGGGGGGACGGGAGGGCGAGACCCAGCTGCGGCGGAGGACGCGGCGTGCCACGCGAATCGCCTGGGCGAAGCCGACCTCTGGACTTGGGACCATCCGGACGGCTGGAGTGCTTGCGCGAGCGCAGAGAAGGAAGGGTTGGCCTTCGCAAGAGGCTGCTAGGACTTCCAAGCCGAGGAGGAGGCCGACGACGAGGACGAGGACGAGGCAGAGGGAAGGGGAGGGGGGGAGGAGGGGGAGGAGGAAGAGAAGGATGAGGAGGAGGAGGAACAGGAGGAACAGGAGGAACAGGAGGAGGAGGCCGACGATGAGGACGAGGACGGAGCGGAGGAGAAGAGAGGGAGGGAGCATGGGGGCGGGAAGGAGGACGCTTGGATATGGGAATGTGGATCCTGTGGCCGGAGATTTGGATTGGGAAACATCTCTACTGGAAGGTGTTTGGCGGCCTGTCCTTCACTAACTAAGTGTTTTGCCGTGGGTCCGAACAGCAGAACTCCCTCCCGACTGACACCCCGACAGTTGCCAAAGCAGCAGGAGGAGGCGCAGGAGTGAGCAGGAGGAACCGGAACCTGTGGCCAGAACGCCATGCCGAACGACCGAAGCCATTCGCCGATCCCCGAATGTGGCCATCGCTTCAGCGGGAGCACCATGTGGAAGCATCGGACACGCTTCTACTCCTACTGAGAAAGTAAAGCAGCAAAGCATATGAGATCCTAGGTTTAGGTCGGGCATGTCCTCCTACGCACGGATTTTGGACGACGAAACAAAAATAGGGGGAAAAAAAAGTAGTCAACAATAGTCCAAGAACTTCCCCTGGCCACCTTTTGACTAGTTTTGAATGTTCCTCCTGTAGAGGGACACGCCCGACTTAATCCTGAGCAGCGAACGAGCCGACGCGACACATGACGCCTCTCCCCCCATCTGAAGGGGGCCGCGGGGGGATAAGAGGCGGCATGCGTGCGGGGTGGGACCAGGGCGCCGCGAGCGCACGCTGTAGCAACCCGCCCCCAGCCATCCCGACGAGGGGGGCGGACGCGTGCGCGCGCTGCCCGCCAGGGTCCCCTCCCCTTCCTCCTCCTCCTCCCTCCTCACTCGCCTCCTCCTCCCCCTCCTCCTCCTCCTCTCCTCCCCCTCTCCTCCTCCTCACGTCCTTACTTTTCCTTCCAGACGTCCAACCTTGTCTCCCCCCCTTCTATTCCTCCTTCCTCTATCCTATAGATGATATATAGTAGAATATATTCCTCCTTCCTCTACGCCTCCTCCTCCTTCCTGTGTGTTACACACCTCGCCTCCTCCTCATCAATCTTCATCTTCATTCTGCTCGCATCATCCTGACAGCATCACATCTCTGCCCATCATCATCATCATCATCATCATATCATCTTCATCATCATCTCATCATCTGCTCCTCCTCTCCACCTCCTCTTTCGCCTCTCCTCCCTCCTCTCCTCTCCTCCTCTCTCGCATGCTCTTCGTCCTCCTCTTCGGTTCTCCTCGTATTTTTCCTCCTCCTCCCTCCTCCTCCTCTTCCTCCTCCTCTCTCCTTTTGCCTCTCCTCCTACTCCCCCCCCTAGGGGGCGGATGCGCGCTGGGCTCACGCGGTGACTGCCAGGGTCCCCGCTTCTCTTCTGCGAGCATATATCTCCTCCTCCTCTTCTTCTTATTATTCTTCTTCTTCTTATGATTATTCTTATTCGTCTTATTATTAATCTTATTATTATTATTATTATTATTATTATTATTATTATTATTATTATTATCATCATTAGTATTATTAGTATTATTATTACTACTACTATTATTATTAGTAGTATTACTACTATTTTTCTTAATAATATTATGGTTGTTATTATTAGTCGTCTTATTCTTCTTATTCGTAGTATTATGATTATTATTATTTTTAATATTATTATTATTATTATTAGTAGCAGTAGTAGTAGTAGTAGTAGTAGTAGTAGTAGTAGTATTAGTAGTATTATTATTCTTATTATTAGTATTATTCGTATTAGTCTTATTCTTAGTCTTGTTATTAGTCGTATTCGTCTTCTTCTTATTAGTATGATTATTCTTATTAGTACTCTTAGTAGTCTTATTCTTATTGTTAGTATTATTATTATGATTATTATTAGTATCATTATTATTATTAGTATTTCTCCTCCTCCTCCTCGTCATCCTACTCCTCGTCATCCTCATCCTCATCCTCATCCTCATCCTCATCCTCATCCTCATCCTCATCCTCATCCTCATCCTCATCATCATCATCATCATCATCATCATCATCATCATCATCATCATCATCATCATCATCATCATCATCATCATCATCATCATCATCATCATTTCCCCCCCCCCGCTTCCCATCGCCCCTCGGCCACCCTACGGCAGCTCCGCGTCGTCACACCTCGCACTCGGGCCTCCGAGACCACGCAGATAGCCGCTCAAAACCTGGAGCGATCGCGGCGCTCCGACACCGCTGACCATTCGATATTGGCCGATTGTGAGCCGCTGGCGGCGTTCAAGCTTGAACGCCCGCGCTGATGTCGCCGCCTCGTCGGCACAGCACACGGTGAATCGACCGGGCGGCAGCAGGGCGCTCGTGGCGGCAGCGGGGCCGCACTCCGCACCGCACGGTGACAGCTCACCGGGTCCGCCTCAATCTGCCTGCCGGGCTGCGCACAGACAGCCTCCCCAGGCAGTCCCATCTGGCCTCAGCCGGCGCGCCAGGTAGTCCCAGCTGGCCTCAACAGGGCCCCCGAGTGGTCCGCCCGGGACTGCTGGGGGGCCTAGGAAGGCCAGCTTGGGCTACTCGTGGACTCGGAGGGCCTGTTTCGGGTCGGGCGAAAGGGGGGGACAGCAAGGGGGGAGGTGAGAATCAGCTCACGAAGCCGATTTTCCAGGCGCCTCCCGGCGCCGGAGGCGGCTATGTATCGAGCAATGGGCCCCTCGGTGGGGCCGAAACCAGCTGCACGCAGCAGATTTCGCAACCCCCCCTTTCCCAATCCCCCCCCTTTCGTCCGGCCCGACTGAGCCCAGCTGGAACTGCGTGGGGAGGCTGTCCGTGCGCAGCCCGAACCCTCACCAGCGCCCCTGCCCCCTGCCGTGGGCCCCTTCTCAATCTGGCCGGTGCCAGAGCCCCGATCGGCGCCCCTGCCCCCTGTCGCGGACCCCATCTCCATCTGGCTGGCTCCAGAGCCCCGATCGGCTGCGCGCCAAGAGAGGGCCCTGGGCAAGAGAGCGGCCTTGGGTGCGCGCCTGTCGGCGGCCGTGGGGAGGCCACCCCTGGGAGCGCCAGGCGCTGCTATTCGTGTCGCGCTGCGGCATCTTTGGCCCCAGGGTGCGCCCGCACCAGAGGTTACCCCCCCCCCCCCGGCGAAGGGCCACTCCCACCCGGGCGCGCCAGACGCTGCTATCCTGTCGCGCTGCGTCACCTTTGGCCCCAGGGTGCGCCCGCACCATATCAGGTCGGGCCTGCCCCCCTACAGGCCGATTTCGGACGGAAGAAATACTCAAACTATATTCCAACCATAAGCAAAATATGCTCAAAAAATCGTTCCGCGATCATCTCCTGACCATGTTTGAGCAGTCCTCCTGTAGAGGGACGTGCCCGACTTAGCCATAGATTGCCCCCAGCGCAAGGCCACTGCCACCAACAGCCCACCCGAATCCAACAGCGGGTGCATGCCGCGGCGCCGGCGCCATCCGCGGCCCCGTTGCTGGCCTCAGTGGCCCCGCTGTCGCCCTTTGTGGCCCCACGTGCGTATGCTCTTCGTGGCCCCCGCTCGCTGGCGCCTGCCGTGGCCCCACATGCACAGCCTTCGTGGCCCCCTCGCTGCCTTTGGTAGCGCCAGTGCTGCACTTATGTCGGGCGTGTCCCCCAACAGGGGGATTTTCGACGAAAACTAAAAAATACCCAAAACATGATCCAAAAATACTCCAAAAATAGTCCGGGGACTGTTTTTTGAATGTTGTTCTGACCTTTTTGGGGTATTGTTTGGGGGTATCTGTACTCTTCGACGAAGGTCCCCCTGTAGGGGGACACGCCCGACATAATCCTACCTTCACGTCGTCCTCCCTCCTCCCTCCTCCCTCCTCCCTCCTCCCCTGGGACCTCAGTGGGCGCGCTTGGGGCCTCTGCGGGCTAAGGCCTCTTCTGTGGGCGCGCTTGAGGCCTCTGTGGGCGTTGTCGGGGGGCCTCAGTGGGCAGCGCGCTGGGGCTTTGTGGGCGCGCTTGGGGCATCTGCGGGCTGCGTCGGTAGCCTCGGCAAGCAGCGCGGGGAGGGCTCTGCGGGGTAAGTAAGGCCTCCCGGCGCTCCCGCCGGCGGCGCCGCGCCCCCCGCGGGGCGCTCCCGCCGGCCTTCCGCCGCCTGCCCGCCCACCCTCCGCCGGCCCTCGCAGGCGAGGCCCCCGCGGGGCGATCCGAGAGGGGCCTCGCCTCGCTCGCGAGGGAGCGCGGGGGCCTCGGCGGGAGGCGAGGGGAGCCGGCGGAGGCAAGACGGGAGCGGCTCCGCGGAAGGACGCCCGGCGCGGGTGGAAGCTCGCCGAGCGATGCCGACATGCTGCGGCGCGGGATTCACGGGGCGGGCAGGAGGTTGCGCTGCTCCTCCTCCTGTGGCCTTGCTCTGCGTCTTGCCCTCTTTCGGCGGCCTCTGCGCCAGCTCGCACCAGCTGGTGCAGCTTTGTCTGCACCAGCCGACAGCCACTGCCGCTTGCGGCTGCGGCACCGCCCGTGCTGAGGAGGAGGGGGAGGAGGACGAGGAGGAGGAGGACGAGGAGGAGGAGGAGGAGGAGGAGGAGGAGGGGGAGGAGGAAGAGGAGAGAGGAGGGAGGAGGGAGGAGGGAGAAGGGAGGAGGGAGGAGGAGTGAGGGGAGGAGGGGGGTGGAGAAGGGAGGAGGTTGAGGGACGAGGCTGCGCCTCGGACCGTGCGGAGCAATGCCTGCCGCTCCCACGGGCCATGCCACCGCCGCCCCGCCCCGCATCCCTCCGGCTGCCCAGTGCCCACTCCCCTCTGGCACACTGGAGCCGCCGCGCCTGGACGGAGCTGCCTGGCGGGGCAGCGGGCGGGGTGCGGACTTTCCTGGAAAGCGCCCCGTCGTCCTTTACTGCCTGCCTCGCTTCTGGACCGCACCCCTGGAGGCAGCTCTGCGTCCTGGGTCCCCTTCTGCTGCTCCCGGGGCTGGCCCTGGAGACGGCAACGAATGAGTTGTGCCAGGATGGAGGCAGAGGAGGAGGAGGAGGAGGAGGAGGAGGAGGAGGAGGAGGAGGAGGAGGAGGGAGGAGGGAGGAGGGAGGAGGGAGAAGGGAGGAGGGATGAGGGAGGAGGGAGACGGCAACGTGTGAGCTGTGCCAGGATGGAGGCACAAGACAGTCTCTCGGACGCCGGGGGGCGGCGGAGGTCAGAGGGCTCCTCCTGCTGCTCGGGCTGCGGGCCGAAGTCCATGGGGACGCCGAGGCCCAGGATGCCCTCGAAGGAGCCCTTCTCCGCGGAGCCCGTGAGGGCCCGGTCCGTCATCAGCACGAGGCCGTCGTCCATGAAGGTCTGAACTACCCCGACGCGGACTTCCTCCTGCGAGGGAGAGACTACTGAGCGGGGGAGCTGAAAGTGGTAAAGCCTCGTGCTGCGTACATGCAGCCGCCCCCCAAGGCTTGTGGACGCCATGACCATGGACACTCTAACAATCCGATGCTGGAATTGAAGACGTGTTTAACATGTTCGAAACATGTTATCAACATGCTGAAAACATGTTTTCTACATGTTTGAGACATGGTTGAAACATGCATTAGACATCTGGAAAGTATTTGGCAGCATATTTCCTCTCTCGCGCCGCCTCCGGCGGCGCCCCTGGGGCACTCCGTGCCCAAGGTTGGGGGGTTGAGACCGCCAGCCGGCTACTCGGGGGGCCTGCTGAGTCCAGCCGGAACTACCTGGGGGGCCTGTCTGCGCGCAGCCCGAAGCCTCAGCTGTGCTGGAAGAGGGGATGAGCATCGACCTGGAACCGACGATTCGTCGCAGACGCGTCGGCGTTAGGCGGGCAGGAGCAAAACACACTTCTATGTATATATGTATATATGCATGTGCGCACAGAACACATATGTTGGCAGACCTGGGTATATAGATATATATATATATGTACTAGAACCACGCGCGCGCTTCGCGCGCGCTTAGGTTCTGTCGAGTCACAGACCCAGGAATCGTTGTGAGAAGAAATTGGTGACGCGAAGCGTCGTGGGGGCGTCCTTGGACGTCTGGGGTCTCCTGGGGCCTCTTGAGGGGCCTCCTGGGGGCCTCATGGCGGCCTCTTGGGGCGGAAGGCTCGAGCTTGCGGTTCGTGGTCCCCCTCTGGGCCCCCTCTTGGGCCCGTCTTGGGGCCCTCTTGGGCCATCTTGGGCGCCTCTTGGGCCGTCTTGGGGCCCTCTTGGGCTGTCCTGGGGCCCTCTTGGAAGTTTATTGGGCCGTCTTGGGGCGGTCTTGGGCGCCTCTTGGGCCGTCCTGTAACGTCGGAAAACCCAAAAGACAACTTTGTTGAAAATGTACGTTTTACGAAGGGAATGGGCCAATTGTTGCGTCTAGGGGCCCTCTTGGGACGCAGGTTGGAGGCTTCTTGGGGCCTCTTGGGGGCGTCCTTGGACGTCTGGGGTCTCCTGGGGCCTCTTGAGGGGCCTCCTGGGGGCCTCCTGGCGGCCTCTTGGAGCGGAAGGCTCGAGCTTGCGGTTCGTGGTCCCCCTCTGGGCCCCCTCTTGGGCCCGTCTTGGGGCCCTCTTGGGCCATCTTGGGCTCCTCTTGGGCCGTCTTGGGGCCCTCTTGGGCTGTCCTGGGGCCCTCTTGGAAGCTTCTTGGGCCGTCTTGGGGCGGTCTTGGGCGCCTCGTGGGCCGTCCTGTAACGTCGGAAAGCCCAAAAGACAACTTTGTTGAAAATGTACGTTTTACGAAGGGAATGGGCCAATTTTTGCATCTAGGGGCCCTCTTGGGACGCATGTTGGAGGCTTCTTGGAGCCTCTTGGGGGCGTCCTTGGACGTCTGGGGTCTCCTGGGGCCTCTTGAGGGGCCTCCTGGGGGCCTCCTGGCGGCCTCTTGGGGCGGAAGGCTCGAGCTTGCGGTTCGTGGTCCCCCTCTGGGCCCCCTCTGGGGCCCGTCTTGGGGCCCTCTTGGGCCATCTTGGGCGCCTCTTGGGCCGTCTTGGGGCCCTCTTGGGCTGTCCTGGGGCACTCTTGGGAGCTTCTTGGGCCGTCTTGGGGCGGTCTTGGGCGCCTCTTGGGCCGTCCTGTAATGTCGGAAAGACCAAAAGGCAACTTTGTGAAAAATGTACGTTTTACGAAGGGAATGGGCCAATTTTTGCGTCTAGGGGCCCTCTTGGGACGCATGTTGGAGGCTTCTTGGGGTCTCTTGGGGGCGTCCTTGGACGTCTGGAGGCCATCTTCAGCAT